GGGGGTGGGAGGGCTTCCTATCACGCACTCCGCCCTCCGCCCGACACCCGCCTCACTCAGTATACCACCACTCCCCAACATCCCACCCTGCCCCCAGCCTCCGGCTTCCCCGCCCTAGCTTCCTCCATCCCATCCATCTTCCCCCCTCGGTCCCCCCACCCCGGGAGGCCCGTGCCTGAGCCGCTGGCCCTCTTACTTGTATGGCCGCAGCCCCCCACGCGCACCTGGGCATCATCGATTCTGAACGCCCAGCGCCCGGGCACGCCCACGTTGGTGGTGGTCTCCACCTCCGCCATGTCCGCAGTGCGTGAGCCGGGGATGCTGAAGTAGCGCTGGCCATCTCCCGCATTGAAGCCGGCCTGGAGGGGACGACAGGGAGGTCGGGCGGGGATGAAGCTTCCCTCGGTGGTGTGGGCGTAGGGGAGACAGGGCTGGCTGGATCCATGACCCGTGAAGTCCCTGAGACGATCTCCCAGGGTGGTCAAGGCCTTCAGAAACCTCCTTGTTGGGCTCTGGAAACTTTAGGATGCTGGGTCCCAGCCAGGTCCTGATCCCATCCCCAAGATCCTCTGGCCTAGGACCATGTGCCCCTGGCACCCCCATGCTTACCTCCCCTGGGACCTGGGTGGGGGGGGGTTGTAAATGTCATCCCAGGAAGGAGTGGCTGGCCAGGAGGCCCTGGCATCAAAGGGGCCCTGGACAAGGGGAAAGTGGTATCATGTGGGACTGGCTGTGCCCACCCCGAGGGTCAGGACCCTGGCCATGTGCTGTTCCAACCTGAAGTGCTTCATGCAGGCCTCTGCCCCAAGCCACCCTCAGAGCACCCCACCTTCCCTGTCTCCAAGGGACACGTGGTCACTGCGTGGTCTGTCTGCTTGTGCCCCTTGCCACACTGTGGGCTCTACCAGGCAGAAGGACTGTGTGAGGGGCAGGCACTTGGGCAGTCGTGGCTTGCACTGGTGAGGCCTGGCTTTTGGGGATTAGCAGGGTGGCTAGGCCTGGGAAGTCAGTTCACATGCCCACCCCCTGGAGGAGAAGAAACCAGAACCAAGTCTTCAGAAAAACAATATACCCCAGGGCAGTGTGGCCTCACTTTATGGTGGGGGTTCCCGTCTAGGGGTGAGGGCCCCTTTATGGCCTCCTCTTGTCCTGTACCAGCCCCCATGACTTACCTGGGCTGCAATGCCCCCCAGGCCAGTGGCATCACCTCCACTGCTGGCGTGGGTGCCCGTGGTCCAGGTGATGGACTCGTAGTTGAAGATGGTGAAGGAGAGCTTGCCATCGGTGATGAGGATAACTTGGAAGGTGTTGACCTGCCGAGGACAGGGCTGGTGGTGCTCTGTCCCTTCACCCACCGCCCACTGACCCTCACTGATGTCTCCTGCTCACTGTGTCTTCCAGGGTAGGGGCCTGGAGGACCTCTGCCTTATCCCCAATGTGGCTATGCTGCCCGGCCCCCGTGAGTGCTGCCTGGGAGGTTGCATGAAGCTGAGGGAGTGTGGGGGCTCATAGACACGGGCCCTGCCCTCCAGGGATCCCTGAGGGGAGGGATGTAGAGGGTAAGTTCTCTCCAAATCCACCTGGGTGAAGCAAACAAACATAAAAAGGGAAAGATAAAAAGAAAGAAGTAAAAGCACCTCAGCATGGTCAGATTTTATGGCTTGCACGGAATTCTCAAATTCTGCTAACTGTTCCATGAGACTATGAAGCCGCCGCCGGACAGGGTGGCTTTGCATGTTGCTAGGGTACTCAGCAGGCCTCAGCAGAGCTTCCAGACCAAGATGGACTAGGAAGAAAGACTCTTTCCACAGATGGAATCAGGCCGATCCCTGAAACTTGCTCTTGGATATCAAGAAGCTAAAGCAAAAGGAAGAGATGATGACATAAAAGAGCTGAACAAAACATTTCAAAGGTGGCTCAAGAAGACATAGTATTATCATGAAATGTGCAAAGATCTGAAGCTAGAAAACAAAAAAGGAAGAACATGCTTGACGCTTCTTAAGCTGAAAGAATTGAAGAGCCTTGAGTTGTAATATTGAAGGATTTTATAGGTAAAATATTGAATGATGTGGGAAGCATCAAAAGATGGATGGACCAAAAGATGGAAGGAATGAGAAGAGTCACTGTACTGAAAGAAATGGTTGGTGTTCACCCATTCCAACAGGTATCATGTGATCCAGAAGTGATACTATTGAAGGAAGGAGTCCAAGCTACACCGAAGGCATTGGCAAAAATCCAGGCTCCAGGAATTGGCGGAATACAAACCGAAATCTTTTAACAAACTGATGGCAGCACTGGAGGCACTCACTCATCTGTGCCGAGAGATTTGGAAGACAGCCACCCAGCCTACTGATGGAAGAGTCATATTTGCTCCCATTTCAAAGAGCGGTGACCCAATGAAATGCGGAAATCATTGGACAATATAATTAGTATCACATGCAAGTAAACATTTCTTGACAATAATTCAAAAATGGTTGTAGCAGTCCATCAACAGGGAACGTGCAGAAATTTAAACTATATTCCGAAGCAGATGTAGAATGAAGGATGTCATTGCTGACATCAGATGGTTCTTGGCTGAAAGCAGAGAATACCAGAAAGATGCTTCTTGTTGTTGTTAAGTGCCATCGAGTCGGTTCCGACTCATAGCGACCCTGTATAGGGTTTGCGGTTCAAACTGACCTTGTGGTCCAATGCATTAACTTTCAGTGCCTCACCAGGACTCCAGAAAGATACTAAATTGTACATCATTGACAGGCATTTTGACCGTGTGGATCCTAAAAAACTATTGATAACATTACAAAGAGTAGGAATTCCAGAATACATGTGCTAATGCTCTGGTAGCGTAGTGGTTACGAATCGGGCTGTGAACCTTAAGGTCAGCGGTTCGAAACTACCAGCTGCTCCGCGGGAGAAAGATGAGGCTTTCTACTCCCGTAAAGATTTACACCCTCGGAAACCCTGTACAGGGTCGCTATGGGTCAAAACTGACTCAACAGCACTTAACAACAACAACAATGCAGAATGAGTACATAGACCAAGAGGCAGTCGTTCAAACGAGGAGATATTGAAGGTTTGAAATCCTTGCCTATGTAATTGGCAAGGAAATAAAATAAGCAGAGCACTTTTTGTTAGGGTGCAGGAAGTGGCTCTTGGGTCACACAGTGTATGTGTTTCTGAAGGGGATCCAGGGTTCTGTGGGCAGCAACCCCCCTTCTAGTGACGGCGGGGACTGAAGTGTACATCCAGAGCCCAAAGAAATAAATCTAGGGGCTGTCAACATAGGCAGGGGTGCTGACATTGGAAACCATGCCGAGTCCTAAGGCCCTGTTCTTATCTATGGACGAGTGAGCATCAGGGGGCAAACAAGGGGCTGTGGACACAGAGGTCGGGGTGGTCTGAGGTGGGGATGAGGGGACGTTACAACCAGTGATGGACGCAGAGGTCGGGCTGGTCTGAGGTGGGGATGAG